TCCACATAGTTCACGCTCCAGCCATGGACAAAACTAGCCACTGTTGTCTCTCTGACTATGCATGGATGACCCCGCAATACATACATAACATGGCTAGAGGTCATGTACATTGTCACTTTTCTACACAAAGGGATAGAATTATTGATCGTTGGTAACCCCAATTCATAACACATTTTTTATGTCTTACGTGTCAGCAGGTATCGTTGGCCAACGAAACTTGGCTTAGGACAACGATATCACAATGCACGCCCATACCACTTGTTTCTCATTTTGGTACAATGCCAGCCACGTATAACATCAATATATTGATGCCGACCATGGCCAGTAAGCAAATAAAAGCAGCGAATATTTATCCACATAGTACCCTTCAACATACGAGGGTGTTTCCTTCTTCGCTGCATATGCCTATATATTTCTTATTCTTAAATATATACTCACATGTGCCTTGCTGTTACTGTAGATAAACACAAGTCTATGAATCCAAGCTCATGGGAATTATTTGGGATAAACTACAGGAGTAGTGGCTTGGTAGGCATGGATGGATGAACGTTGCCCGTCTGGCGAAGCAAGGCATCCGCACCAGCGGGGCTTGGCGTTGGCGATGCTGCCCAACTTCGCTAGAAAGGGGTTGGGTGGCGAAGACATGGAAATGAACTTGATTCTCGAAATAGTGTAGTTTGATGCTAACCGAAGGCTGGAAATCTGCTAGAAACTAACCAGTGATGCTGTCTTGGTCACCATCAGCAACTTATAGCTATATTTAATGCAAATGTGGCTACACAAGTTCCATGGCCTTGGAAACTCTTGTAAAATATTACTATTTACTTGCAGAATCTTCCAAACTCTTGTGCAGAGCTTGGGGAACTTACAAAATCCTGTGTAGATGTTGTTTTTGCCGGCTGCACTGAAGCATGTCCCTGGAGATGGGATGTCGTATGACTGGGGGCATTTCCAGAAATATACAATTTCCAGTTTTTCACCAAAACCAACAAAACTTTGCTGGAATCATTAGGCAATTCATGATGCCACTGTCACAAAGTTGCCAGCAGTGCTTAGAACCACCGAAAATTCGACAGCTCATTCCAACCCGTATGCACACCTCTAAGCCATTAACCAGAAATTACAATAATACCACTGCATATATATATATATATAAATTATCTACCTTTCATTTTCAAGAAGATAAAGACGCATACAGTAAAAAAATAGATTGACGCACCTAACTTCAGCCTTTTTTCCTCACTCACCAAAACTCCCATTTTTCCCTAAAGGAAAAAAAATATTCCATCTTCAACCTCTTGCCTTGCACACTGAAACCATCCGGAAATCACCATTCTCTCGGATTTCTTGTGTTTCCAGCTTTGCAGAACATTCTCCAACTCTGTAAAATAGTTTCCAATACTGCAGAACATTTTCCAGCACTATAGAATATCACCCAGCATTGCAGAACGTTCCCAGGTTTGCAAGATGTTACGGCTAGGAAACAACGAATTGTAGTTCCAGCTTTTGGTTAGTTCTTCTTGAGTATCAAATGATCAAGGTTGCAAGATTAGCATCAAAGACGGGATCAAACGCTCCATTCGTAAGCTCCCAAGCGGTCGTCCTTCCTTTTCCCATCACCACTCTCAAGTTTATCCTTTTGTCTTTGGAAGAATCTCAAGAGTGAAGTTGTTGCACTTTTCATTTTCAATATGAGAATTGTTCGTTATATAGTAGAGATATACACTAGAAATGAAGGAGGTCATATTTATTATCATTATTATCATATCACAATGATATGTGTATGAATATGACTCTCAAGTTGTAATCCTTGAACCACACATATTTTACATCTTTGCTGCCCCTCCTTAACAACATACAACTCCTCTCTATCATGTTTTTGGTAGTTGTGTAATCATCTTGAACCCTTGGAATCTTGTCATTGCTGCCTAACTCCACCAACTTGGCTGAAAGATTTATCTTTCTAAAAAACTTCGCTAGAGAGTTCACTATAAGACATTATTGCTTAACAGAGTGGGATGGCTCGTATCACGTAGCCTTCCGCACGTGAGACGAGTGCCGCCGGAAGACCCCTCTATTTTCTCGGGTGTCATCCTTGTTAGCTTCCATGTCATCACCATTGCTGACTCATCCATCTACATCACTAACACCCTCGAACAAATATCATGTGACATTATAAATTTATAATATGATATGTTATTGTATACTTAATTTTTTTATTTTTAGTTTCATTCATAATTTTGTATATATTTACTTATTTAATATTATATCATAATAATTTAATATCATATTATGATTGTTATTTATTAACTTGCAATTTGACATAACATTGTAATATAATATTACTGAAAATAAATATAGGAAATTATTATTTATCTATCTTATATTTTAAAAATTAAAAAGGAAGTTACTCTAAAACTATATCATT